TTTTTTTTCCCCCCCCCCCCCCTCCCCTCCTTGCTACCTCGATCCTTTTTTGCCGAATCGCTTTGTTCGACCCGTCGAAATGGCGAGCTCTCGGTGGAGTGTTGTAGTTTTATTCTGCAGCCGACGCGTCGCGCGTATGCGACGGCAATCGCCGAATCGTGGAGAATACGTACGCGGCGGCGACACGCTGCGGAACGAGCTTGTAAAACGATCGCGAGGATTTTCCTCCGCGCGGACCAGATGTAACCCCGCGCGGTCCATGCTGTTTTCGAATTTATGCCCGCCGATTTTTTTCCGTAAACAATACCGCGCGCGGTTGAATATCCAGCGGAACTATGAAATATGTATGATATTACGCGGGAGAGAAAAATAAATGTGCGAGTGGTACGATGGTGGAATTAGAGATGTGCGAGCGTGAAAATAACTCAAGTTACTGTGGTCAATCATAACAACAACGCGCGATCGATAATTTTGTACTATTACAAATTATAATTAATCCTTTCATTCCTAATGTTATATATAGCGCAGTTATTTATCAATAATATCCGAATATGTGAGAAAATTATATTTTCGAACACTCGTTTTACTACAAGAGAAAAATAACGGTCTTTAATTAAAATTATATTTTTGATTATACAAGTAACTCCAAGCCATTTTTACCACTCATTATTGATATTGGTGTCACTGAAATGTCTCTTCTAACTGCTTCTAGACATGGTTTATTTCCTGGAACGATCTAGAAATTCCGGACGATTATTGCGACGCCATATGACGCGCGCACTAAGGTAAAGCTTCATAAAAGTAAATTGCGGATATTTCTCGTTCTGGTCGACTAATTCTATTGTCGAGAGCCTCACGTAATTCAATTTATCCGCGCGCCACTCGAGGTATCGATGCGTTATCAAATAAGAGAAGAAGAATAAAATGTACTGTACAGGATATCTAGCTCTAGCTTTTACTTTGTATCCGGGCTTGATTCAACAAAAGTTCATTATTGTCTTACCTCTCGCTGTTCTCTTGATACGCAAACTACAAAAAGAAAATTCTTGAACACCCGCAAAAGGTCGCTCGTTCTAAACTGCGTCACAAAAATGTAGCCTTTCGCAACAACATTCGCTCTCCTCTCATTATATTTCTCTTCTTTAAACAACGACATAAATCTTCTTTCAAAAATGCATTTCTCTCGCACTTTCTTCCTTTGTGGCATTTTAACAAGCTCGCAAGCTCGTTAAGACATTGCATTACGGATCTACGTTATCACATTAACACACACAAGAAGTACATTAAATTATTGGCAAAAATGAAGAAAGGAGAAGATATCGAAATGTAATCATAAAACTGTAAAAGAATGTTATAAATATCAAACTTTACTCTCTACTAAAAGATGCATCCAGAAATAGACAGCCATCGATATTGATACAGTACGCAGAACTGCAGGAA